GGCCCGTGCGAGGCCGCAGGCTCCGCTGGGCGGACGGAGGGGAGAGACAGCGACCGGCCCCGAGGGGGACATTGTGGGTAAACTGCGCTGGCTTCGGCTCCCCCACCCTGCTCCCCACCCCTCGGGGGTCACCGCGGCACCCCTCGGCTACTTCGAGCTCCATCTCCCCGGCGCTGCCTTCTGCGCGTCCTTTCCACCAAAATCCGCCCCAGTTTCGGGGGGGATGCTCCTGTTCCCGATTGTTTTAGGATGCTTCAGGCTCTTTCCGCCCGCTTGCTGCCCTTCCCCTTGGTCTTGGCTTTGCTGCCCTTCCCGTCGGTCTCGGCCGAAATTACGGCTGGGAGCGGAGCCGGTGGGGTTTGGTGGTGAACGGGCTGTTGGGGGAGCACAGGGAGGGGGGTTTACATCGCCTCGGTTGTTGCCCTGCGCTGTTTTTGGGGAGGGTGGGCGCCTGCACACCCCCAGCTCCAGCCCTGACCCAAACCACGTTGCTCAGCTTGTTCCCAAGGGGCCCCCGGGGAGCTGCAGCTCGGGGTGCCGGGGCCCTGCTGGCCTTTGCCAGCATCCCGGATTTCTGCTCCCAGCCCCTGATCCCTGCGATCCACAGCTGCCTCTGCAAGGGGCTCTTTTGTTCTGCCTTACCCCTGGAAATGCTCATTTCTGGATGGAGGGGCTCGGATCCCACCTGGGGGCAGGGGGTTGTCAATCTTTAGGCTTTTCCAGCTGTTCCCTTTTCCCAGCAACTTTGCCAGCCCAAGGAGCCTGAGACAGGGGTGCAGCTCCCCCTACTCCAGTGCCATCCTCGGGATTCAGCAGCACTTTTACCAGGGACAAGTTTCTCCAGCTGGCATCTCCTGCCAGCAGAACACTTCCTACCGGGGACTGCCGGGGGCTGCCCCATCCCGCTCCCCTCCCTCTGCCCCCAGCTGCCCACACAGGCTCCTCTGTCGTGCAGACCTTGTTTTGGAGGAGAAGGGGGACACCCGAATGCAGACACAGGGAACAGCTAAAGGAGGAAAGCTGGAAGTGTTTCCAAGTGCAGCTTCTCCTGCGGTGTCCGGTCTTGGCACGGAGCAGTGACTGATGGTGTTTACACGAGCACTGGGATGCTGCAGACTGAATTCCCGGCTTCTCTTTCCTCTGCTTTTCACCAACAGTAAATTAGGCTGCCCAGAGCACATTGCTGCAGGCTGGCACAGCCTCCTGCCCCGGCCCTGATCCGACTCTGAGCATGCAGGGGCTGCTCTTAGAAAATTCCAGTCCTATGTAAATACCAGCAGGTATTAGGGACTGAGTCATGGCATTAACAGGGTTATTATACGCATGTCTGGACAGATTCCTTACTGAGGATGGGGTTTTGTCCTTCCACCTTGCCGTGCTTGGCTCATCTGGAGGGTTGGGCGTCCTGTGCTGGTGGTGGGATGGATGTGCTGTTTGGGCTCTTGGCGTTTGGGAAGGAGGGTCCTGAGCACCTCCTGGCTAAATCAGCACTCACCTGTTTTTCATCAGCCTTGCAGGGGTTTCAGGCTCTCTGCATGGACATGGCAGTGGGAGCATCTGCTCTGGGTGTGAGGAGCCAAATCACTTCATGCTTCAGCTGGGGCTGCATCCGGCAGCATCCATGGGGAGTGCTTGGGGTGTCCCTGGTTTCCCTGCCAGGAGCAACCTTCCAGGACTGAAAGGGAGCCTGTGACCAAATTTTCAGCAGGATCTGTTGTGATAGGACAGGGGGTGATGGTTTTAAACTCAAAGAAGGTAGGTTTAGATTAGATATAAGGAAGTTTTTTACAGTGAGGGTGGGCAGGCCCTGGCACAGGTTGCCCAGAGAAGCTGTGGCTGCCCTATCCCTAGAAGTGTCCATGGGGTTGGATGGGGCTTGGAGCAACCTGTGATAGTAGAAGGTGCCCCCACCCATGGCAGGGGGGCAGAATGAGATGAACTTTAAGGTCCCTTCCAACCCAAACTATTCCAGGATTCTGTGTTCCTTCTGCTCCCTAAAACTTTTCCTGTAAATTTCCACAGCCTCCCCCCTGGCATTTAAGCAGCTCCCTCTATACCTGCATGTGTTTGGGGCTGAGAAAAGCTTGCCCCTGTGTTTGTGTCGATGTGTGGCAGGGCCCAGAGGGTTGTCTCAGTCCCAGGCTGAGCTCTGCAGCTCCCTGGGGACCAGTGCTGGTCTGTGCCACAGGGGCTGATCCATTTGGGGACCTACCTATGAGGAGAGGCTGAGGGAGCTGGGGTTGTTTAGTCTGGAGAAGAGAAGGCTTAGAGGTGACCTCATCACTCTCTTCAACTACCTGAAGGGAGGTTATAGCCAGGTGGGGGTTGGTCTCTTCTCCCAGGCAACCCACAATAGGACAAGGGGACATGGGCTCAAGCTCTGCCAGGGGAGGTTTAGGTTAGATGTTAGGAAGAAATTCTTTACAGAGAGGGTAATCAAGCATTGGAACAGCCTACCCAGAGAGGTGGTAGATTCACCATCCCTGGAGGTTTTTAAGCAGAGATTGGATGTGGCCCTTAGTGCCATGATATAGTAATTGGAG